AGGGCACTACTGATTTTAGTCCTTGGGGTAAAATTTCTTTAAAAATCATGTCTGAGAAGTCCTTAAGTCCTGGAATTTCATTTTGCAGTTTCTGTATGAACCATGTAAACAGATTTCTGCTGCTGATACATTTCTAAAGGAAATACGTTGTGTTCGTTCTATTATGTTTATGTTTAGTGTGCTTTATATTTTTTCTTCAGGAAGTCATGACACCACCATAAGACTCTGGGATCTGGTTGCTGGCAAAACAAGAGCCACACTGACAAACCACAAGAAGTCTGTCAGAGCATTGGTGCTCCATCCCAGACAGTAGGTTGCTTATGTAACATTACTTTAAGTGAACAAAAAGTAATTCTGTAAGAAATATGATAACCTAATATAAATATAATAGTAAACCTGTAAACAGTATAAAGTAAATTAAGTTGTAAATTACAGCCCTATGAAATCCAATTCCCAGTTTGTGCCACATTCTGTTTCCATTTGTCATTTCAATTTTTTATTCAATTTTTTTGGAGACTGTCTTTAACGTACGGAAGAGGATTAGGGCCAAGCAATAAAAAAACATTAAAAAAAATAAAACCATCTCAAAATTAAAGTCGTTAAATTTCAAGAAAAATCTCTTTAAATTTCAAGATAAAAGTCGAGATAAAATGTTGAGATTAAACTCATTAAATTTCGAGAATAAAGTCGCTGTTTCGAGATAAGTCTAAATAAAATGTGGGAATAAGCTCATTGAATTTCAAGAAAAATGTCGAGAATAAAAACTCGTGTCATGTTCATTTCATCTCGTTGGACAGTGTTATTTAGCATTTGCAGTGTGGTGGGATGGAGAGTAATGCACTGGGGAGTAGCGAATGATACGTTCGAGTCCGTCTTTAGCCGAACTCGCTTTTCTTCCTTTTCTCATCAAATATCACATCGGCAAATTAGAAATCAATTGCTTAACGAGTGTCTAATAATAATGTATTAATTGGGGGTAGGCAGGCTATAGGGAGGGCTTTGTTCTCCCAATAAGGCAGCATCTATTTAATAATTTCAATAAATAAAATCATTATTAAAATCATTGTTATTATTGCATCCTGTTAATGTACAACAATACTGAGGTGCAAATAGTATCTGCCACTATTTATAAGTATAAATAGCATCTAATTATCTACTATTTACACTTATTGAAAAGATCTGCTACTTTTACATAACGTAAATAGAATGGCTGTTTTTCACTTTGTGTAAATAGCACATATCTAAAATTCTGCTGTTGTCACTTAGTGTAAATACATATAACTATTTTCACTGTAAATAGCAACTGGCAGGGGTGTCCAAAGTCCGGCCACGGGCCAAAAAACAGCCCGCAGCTTGTCTATTGAAATGTAGGCTATTATATGTGGCCCACCAATCATAATTTACAAATCATGCAGTTTCACAATGTGAACACAAGGTGACAGCGCTAAATTTTAGGCCAGATGTATCAGTAAAACGTGAGCGACAACAATTTGATAACTCATATGCGCTGTCATTTCTTTAGCGCCCCGAAAGCAAAAGAGTGCTACTCACGTGAAGCGCGCTGCACGGATCATTATTAGCTCTGCCTAAAGACTTTTTACTCGCAGGTCTCGATCATGCGACCACTAAACAGCACTGTGAGATGCGTTCGAGTTTGGAGCAGAGCTCTCCTATATAAACCACAGATGTCACGGTGATTTAAACTAGTTTAAAGGCAGATGAAACTGCGCTGCCATTCTCGACAACACTGACACAGAAAACAGGAGAAACACTGTGTGACAACAATGCAGTTAGAATAGGCCTACTTTTCAATCCTCAAATTAATATTTACAATGGATTCACTGTAGTAACACTAAACCTACCTAATTAATACATTATTATTAAATACTCGTTAAGCAATTGATTTCCATTTTTCCGATGTGATATTTGATGAGAAAAGGAAAAGCGAGTTTGGCAAAAGACTGACTCGAACCCAGTCAATCGTATTATGCGCTACTCCACAGTAGAGGTCTTCATGGGTCCACTTGGATCCGAAAACCCGAGTTCCGACACAAGACCCGAGCGGGTTCGGGTCCAAAACTTCGACAAGTGCCTCGGACACGGGTAGGGTTCGGTATTAGCGGTCTCGGGTAATTTAAAATAAACATGCTTTTTCCAAATGGACTCGATTAGACCCGAGTTCTTTTAAACTATCCCGAATGCATAGGCTACTTTCACTTTCGTTTTAAGTGAGGAACGCACATAGAAAAGGAGCATAGGCTACGTTTGTAACCTCGCACACAAAAACCATCTTATAGATCTGAGATCCATCAGGAAAATCCACTCTCTTCATTATGCTGCCTGTTCATATAGGCCTTTTATTTTTTTGTGTGTGCAATAGCCTTTCGCCGGAGAACAGGTTGCAGACAACACTAGTGAATACGTGAATTATTAGGCTATAGATTACATTTTTATCAAACTGTCATGCTTATTTTTCAAATCCACTGGTCACAATTGAAAGTCAAGCTCAGAAATAACTAGAGGTCGACCAATCGATCGGCCGGCCGATTTTTGGCATTTTTTTAATTAATCGGCTTTGGCCGATTGTGCTGCAAATTAGGCAGATTTATAGGCAGGTGCACCTGCAGGCAGCTAAGCATTGTTGTGGAACTCCCTCTGAAGAGACTGCGTGAGAGATGGAGCACCTCACACTCTGGAGCCGTTTCTTGTTCACACACAGCTTCAGCTAATGATGGCAGGGCAAAACAGACCGTTTCGAAAGCGTAATTACGTTTTACCCTACTAGAATTGATGCCAGAAAGTTATCATATTCATAAGTGCAACAAGTCATTTGCATGTTAAAGTAGAAACGCATGCAATTCAGACGAAACTTCTGGGCTGATTGTAACGTGCACGTTAACTTTCTTCGTGAAATGTGTGTGTAGGTCCAACAGTAGCATCCACGATGTCATCGCTTGTGGCCAGTGCACTCTACGCAGTTATGAGCA